ACCTTCTATCTTTACCTTCTTTTTCTAATGGCAACTCAATCTCCAGTCGAGAGCTTTAACGCGATTTCCAGGTAACCCGTTTACTCTTCATCGAATGTCCATTAACGTCTCGTAGGCGAGGGCCCATTAGCCGGTGACAATTTTCCCTGGCTTGTTTCCCCTTAATCGGGTCTTCGTCAGTCCGGCAACGGTGAAGAAATCATTGGCACTTAAACTCTAGGCGCGCATATTAAATTATTAAATCCGGTAAACGACGGAGACCGTGAAAGCTTTCGTAGCAATTGGATATATCCGATGCTCGTCTTGTTCTGCACGCGCGAATCGTCCGTTTTTTTATTCATTTTTAGAATTTCAAAATGAATGATATGTTAAGCCGCGTACAGACTTACAACCCCGCGGTCGAAGTCTGTGGTTGAGGCGCTCGCGCCGTTTCGCTCGGTCATTCTCTCCAGCTGAATATCGAACGCTTTCTGGTAAACTTCTTTGAAATTTCTTGTAAAAAAAGAAATTCCGTATAAAGTTTCATAAGCAAGAGTTTTCAGACACCACTTTCATGGCACCTTAACCCTTTGCGGACGAGACTTTTCCTTTCTAAAGGCTTTTAGGCGGCTATTTGCTGACCCTTGTTCGCAAAGGGTTGAAATCGTGCGATCGCCCCGTGCGAAAATATCAAAATCGATGATTTTTTTTTCCCATTTCAAGGGTTTAGCGCCCCCTTAACCAGTTAACTGTGTCGACCTATTGGAAACGTGTGTTTTCATGACGAGTATACTCGTCAAACACAGCTAACTGGTTAAGAGCCGCTCGCGCCGTCTCACTCGGTCGTTCTCTCCAGCTGAATATCGAACTCCTTCTGGTAAACTTCTTTGAAATTTCTTGTAAAAAATGAAATTCCGTATAAAGTTTCATAAACAAGAGTTTTCAGACACCACTTTCATGGCACCTTAACCCTTTGCGGACGAGACTTTTCCTTTCTAAAGGCTCTTAGGCGGCTATTTGCCGACCCTCGTCCGCAAAGGGTTGAAAACGTGCGATCGCCCCGTGCGAAAATATCAAAATCGATGATTTTTTTCAAATTTAAGGATTTTGCGCCCCCTTAAGAGCCGCTCGTGCCGTTTCGCTCGGTCATTCTCTCCAGTTGAATATCGAACTCCTTCTGGTAAACTTCTTTGAAATTTCTTGTAAAAAATGAAATTCCGTATAAAGTTTCATAAACAAGAGTTTTCAGACACCACTTTCATGGCACCTTAACCCTTTGCGGACGAGACTTTTCCTTTCTAAAGGCTCTTAGGCGGCTATTTGCCGACCCTCCTCCGCAAAGGGTTGAAAACGTGCGATCGCCCCGTGCGAAAATATCAAAATCGATGATGTTTTAAATTTCAAGGATTTTGCGCCCCCTTAAGAGCCGCTCGCGCCGTCTCGCTCGGCCATTCTCTCCGGCCGGGTATCGAACGCCTCCTGGACCGCGCGCTTGCGCGAACTCTCGTGGCCCTTTCCGTGTCCCGACCTCCCCGTCAGCCGCAGTGCTCCTACCAACGGCGTTTACGTTTGCGTCGGAGTCCTCGTCATAGACACGCCTCGTCCCGTGTTCGCGGGGAATCGTCACCGGGATCATGGACCCTCGCGGCGTTGCGCTCCTCGGGGTTCCCTGACGGCGGTCCTCCCCAGTGATGATCCCTGACCACCGCAAGAACCGCGCGCGCCCCCTTATTCGTCGCTCGAGAATCACTTTTTATTAACAACCACGAAGACGAGTCGACGAGACTGCAAAAGGTCTCATTCCCGACCGGACTGCGTCCTTCACTTGTGCGGAAAATATTCCGCGTTTTGGAGAATGGTGCTTGACCTTGAGCCTCCTGGTCCCACTCTGACTAACCTATTCTGTCACTTGAGAATAACTTTTTATTAACAACCATGAAGATGAGTCGAAGGGACTGCAAAAGGTCTCATTCTCGACTTGACTGCGTCCTTAAATTGCGCAGAAAATATTCCGCGTTTTGGAGAACGGTGCCTGACCTTGAAACCAAGCCTCCTGGTCCCACTGTGACTGACCTATTCTGTCGCTCGAGAATCACTTTTTATTAACAACCATGAAGACGAGTCGAAGGGACTGCAGAAGGTTCCATTCTCGACGTGACTGCGTCCTTAAATTGCGGAGGAAATATTCCGCGTTTTGGAGAACGGTGCCTGACCTTGAAACCAAGCCTCCCGGTCTCACTCCGACTGACCTTGATTTCCGGGTCCGGATTTATTCCTACCGGTGGTTTGAATGTTCTTTACAATTGATTCACCAGGATTTCTTTTATTTTGAATAATGCCTTAGGCATTCTTATTCGCCCTCAACCGCAGGATGTGATTCAGTGACGTCTACAGCGTTTGCTGATTTCCCTTGTTAGTCGGCCACTGCTGGTCTAATTTCCACCAAAGGTGTCTTTATAGTTATGGTGGTACGGAGCGGGAACCTTGCTCTTTGAAATACCTGAATCATTTTTAAGGGCGCGCGTTGGCCTTGAAACGGCCTTCCCAGGCTGGTCGACCTTGACTCCGATGAACAGGTCTTTCGCTATCACCGTTTTAGGCCTTTTGGGCTTTTGGAACGGCCCTGACCAACTGTATGCTCTCTTAGAAACAGTATTTCGGTCGATTACGTTATCACCCGCGTTAATTCGTCGAATGTCTTGGGGCAAAAAGGATACCGGGCATCTGGTCGAGATCGTCGTCGTTGGCACTCCGTCTTCCTGTCCTCAAGGTTGAGCGTGGTCACGCTCTCTTTCGAAAGCTTCTACGTCTTTCTCTAATTTGATAGGAGCCAATACGGCCGTCATACTCGAGATAAAAAATTCAGTGAAAAAGTTCCACCGCGAAAAGGCCGTTTCCTCTTTGCGGTGATTTATACCCACGGGGAGTCTTTTGCTAAATAAATAAATAGTTCTCGGAAGGTGAAGAGATTTTGCTCCGACGTCACCATCCAAGTCGACTCTTCGGGTCCGCGTATATAGTAAATTGTTTCGGTTCGTGATAATGCAGCAATGATAACAGTCGGTGTTCCTAGTCGTTGAATGAGTCACGACCGTCCCCACTTTCTATGCCCGAGATCGCAAAGAAAGAACGTCAAGTCCCGAGCCAAGTTTCAATTGAGTGACGTTTCAACTTGTAATTAATAATTATTATCGCATCAGCTGATGTCCTACGATTACGATTGCGGCTGGCACCCATTTGTTCGAGTCGAACCGGCGTAGGAGTATCGCGTTCGATTCGAGGTCGGCTCGATGATACAACTGTGATATTTATAGCCACTTGTTAATTAAAGTACGCAACAATTAACCGACATGCTTTTCCCGCCTACGCCTCGCCGTGAAATCCAACGTGACGATTTTTCAAGGCCCACCTTCGAGTTCCTCGAGTCTCCCCTTTCCGTGCTTTGAATGAGAGAAAAAAAAAATAGAAGAGAGACTAAGTGAATTTATTTTTACGCGAATAAACAGCCTCCCCTCTAAGAAGCAAATAGCCCTTTAGCGCCGATCTCCGAAGTGCCTACTCGAGCTGCCGCTGTTGAACGGCCATCATCCGAGCTCTTCGGCCCCTCCATCGAGTTCTCTTTATTTCCAGAGTACCAAAAACCCTTCGATCGCAGATCTAGACCGCGTCTTCGTCTTCGTCTTCGTCTTTGACAAAGGAATTTCCGTCTCAGGCCTGACGAGTCTTCCGAATCCGCTGAGTTACCTGAACAGATCTGGAGGAAAATGACTCATCCTTTAATCCGGCTCCAATTTTGCCGGCGTCAGGATCCTCCGGCGTGACCTGCCTACCTCGAGTTAGTGGTCCCTGGAAGAGGGGCCTCCTCTTTCTTTTTTATTCCTCCTTTTACTCCACAATTTGCCATGGCGTCATCCGAGACGTCAAGAGGCGCGAGAAGGCGCACCATGCTGCCCATGAGAAGCGTCAATCGGCTCCCGATCGGCCCGATAAATGTCGCCGAAAATGTTCCTTCTCCTCCCGGAAACGGGGTTTGCGAGGATGGGAAAGATTCCGGGCTCTCTTCCGAATGTTCTTCACCCACCGGAGGCTCCCCACCGCCGAGGCAGCAGAAACGCGGTTCCGTTTCTTCGACGTCCTCGATCGCCAACAGCATAGCTCGTGCCAAGCTCGATGCCGAAAGGTAGATCAGATGCTTTCGGACCTCACGATTTAACGAGGCTAGATAATCGGACGACTCTTTAATCGACAAAAATCTCTTCGCGACAACGTGAAGAGAACTTATCAAATTCGGTTGGCCATGGGAATTTGTTCCTAGGTTTTGATGAGAGAGCGGTACCTGATAATGGTTTACACGGTAAAAAAGACATTTGCGGTACCTATATTTCGTGGCAAACTATGGCATTGCCAATATAATTTCGCTCTTACTGCAGCAGTAAGCGCGCTAACTGTAAAGCCGTTTGCAATTATATCTGGATAAGTGAAAATCTAGACGTAACCGTAGGAGAGGGTTCTTTAGAAAAAGTTGCCCGCTAAATTGGCAAATAAATATTTAGCGGCGACGTAAAAGTCGTTGTCGTTACTACTGGATCGAATTATCGATGTACAGTTTGTCGCCGCTGGAGGAACAATTTGGCTATCGCGAATATAATTTCTGTTGCCCCATTGAAGTAATCACTTATACGTTGTCCATGTAGGGGATATCTTGGTTTTTCGAGCGTTTACATTTGCCGAAGCTAGTTAACCTTTTTCTTTTTTCTTTATTATTATCGAATTATTTTCCCGCAAGTTGTTATCGGCCTGGTCGTAGTTATCAGCTTTAGCGAGCTCGTATATTCCATTTCGCGACGACGTCACCGGCTGTCCCCGATTTGCTGCAAACGCGCCGTAAACGCATGCTCGAAATTGGCAGCCACCTGCCGCGAATCTCGCCCAGGACAGGGAAATAATATTATCGTTTCTTGCTCGCTGTCTAGCCCGAACGAGCACAAGGTGTAATCTCGCCCGTCTAATTTCCATTTCAGAATCAACGGCGGAAGGACGTCGAGGCTGCTGCGAAGCAGATCGGGAATGGAATCGCCCCGTACTCTTGACAGCGTGCGAACCCGTCAAGTGTCAAGCCCTCTCAGGCCTCCGAGAAACGTAAGAGGACCTAGGGAAAATCCATAACGACGTGCTCCGTCTCTGAAGTGACGTTTCCGCGACGAGGTGTCCGCTGTTAGAGCGAATTTCATTATTTTTACCCGGCTGTCCGCCATCCACAGATTGATCTCCTCGTGAATCTACCGATTCATCGATGGGAGTCCGGAAAGTAATGGATCGAACAGCTTAAAGAAACATGTATATAAAGCTGGAATTGCCACTTTAGCACAATTAAATGAAGTTTGTTGCAAAATTTATTGCTAATTCGTTGCTATTTTATTGCACAAGAGAAAAATTTCTTGCTCTTATACTTTTCCGAAAAATCGTGGCGATGTCAGCTTCATATAAAGCTAACACTGCCACAATAAAAAACAATTATTAAGTAAATGTTCATCGGTGAATTATATACCAGAATTTATTGCTAATTATTTGCTTGTAGAGAAACCAAATTTCAATTATTTTGCTCACCCCTAAAGGGGTGAATCGCCACCCCTGACGATGATCGCGGGACAGAAACATGAAAAACATGGGAGAATCGAACTATTTGTTCACATGGGAATTAATCGCTAATTAATGTAGGTTTGAAAATTGTATTTTTATTGAGATATTGGTTCTTCTCGGAGCAATTAATTTCCACGTGAAGAAGTAGTTCGATTCTCCCATGTTTTCCATCTTTCTGTCCTGCGATCAGCACTAGGGTTGGCGATTCACCCCTTTAGGGGTGAGCAAAAAAATTGAAATTTGGTTTTTCTGCGAGCAATTAATTAGCAATAAATTCTTGCATATAATTCGTCGATGAACGTTTACTTCATAATTGTTTTTTATTGTGGCAGTGCTAGCTTTATATAAAGCTGACATCACCACTATTTTTCGGAAAAGTATAGAAGCAACAAATTTTTTTCTTGTGCAATAAAATAGCAATGAGTAAGCAATAAATTTTGCAACAAATTTTATTGAATTGTGCTAAGGTGGCAATTCCAGCTTTATATACATTAAAGTTACCGACGCGAAATATCGGATGTCTAAAAATTTCCCTCGGGCACTTGACAATGAGTTTTGTGAATTTTTTTCTCATTTTTCTCGTTTCCTTTCTTCAGCGATTCTGACCAGGAAAAATGTCTTTTTATGCAGATCCAGTCACCGAGTTTGGATTCTGGCGATGAAGGAAGCGTCAGGGTGGAACGTGGGACGTACCAGCACATGTTCCAGGACATCGTCTCCATTAAGACGATGTTGCTGAAACTGAAACGGGTTCTTCAGGAGGTACGGGATTGACTAGAGATCGTTCCCCCGCCTCGGTCCTTTTTCTTCCCTCTGTATCGTTTCATTCTCCCATTTCCGGGAACCTTCGTTCTAAGTTTACCATACCTCCGCACAATTAACACACGTCCTGTCGCAATATAAGCCTCCGTTATCTTTTGTGTTCGTCTGATTAACACGCACCTTTCTGTTTTGCATTTTTTTGGTCATCCTTGGTTTTGCATTTGAAGTCAGGAGAGAACGGTTTGACGAGGGTACGTGTAAACTTTTCTTTATTCCTCTTTTTTTTGGCTAACCATGCGTATGTAAAGTCCATCCGCAAGATACAAGAGAGTAATCGGTCGTTGTTTCCCTTGTATTTGTAGGCAGAAACTCTCAACCCATTCGAAAACTCGATAAAGGTAAGCGAAGCGCGATGGGACGACGCGTCGGGATAAAGGAGGCGACGATGGATTCGGTGGTTGCTGATGAGGTCCTTTTTGCAGAATGGTCTCTTCTACAACCTGAATGAATGCGATACAACGGATGCTAGCACATCACCGGGGGGAGGAAACATCACCGTTGCTGACGAATTGGCCGATTTGCGGAGACAGGTCGTTTTTCTTCAAGGCCAGTTGGAGGATAAAGATCGCACGATACAATTGCTTCAGGTGATAACGCGTGGGGACTTCGCTGCTGAAACGCTGATAATTTCTTTTCTTGACGTATCTCTTGAATATTTGTCTTGAGTCAGTTACTTCCCTTTGAAGCATAACGGAATTCGACGTTTCACGTTTCACGTTTCAGTTGCAAATGACGAAATATCAGGGAATCAATTGTACAGACGCCCAGAGCGGTGCTTCCTCGATGCAGAGCTCTTCCATCAAGGATACGTGTAACGCGACGACGCAAACCGAAAAGGTAACTCGAGTTAGATGTCCTTTATGATAGAAAAATGAAGCGATGGGTCTGACATAACGCCGAGTATCGTTAATTCCCTGCTTTAAGATGAGACCGGTATCGGCAGGGCCTTCGCTTCTGCAGTCACTCCCGCAAGATGGCGGCATGGGGCCTCTCGTTAGGTAAAAATTCGATCAAATGAAATTATTTAACGTATCACGACACTCATATTTACCTTTAACGCGGCACCTTTTCACGAGACACACTTGCACCTGTCTAGATAGTTATCACCGTACAATGTATCACCTACGCAAGGAAGTTCCAGGTCAATTTGGACCGTTCCGATATTCTTGGTCAGTCTAAATGAACTTTTAACGGTGCAAAATAAGAGATAGATCTTTGGAGCCATCGTGAAATTGTACTCGAGAGTCCCGTAATCGAGACCACGTCGAGCCAATAAGTTATTTTCATTACCACTCTTTCGTTATTGTTAGACTTGTCGGGGACGTAAGTTTACTTCATCGAATGCCGAAACATTTATTTGTAATAACTCTTGGTGGATCTTCTTCTACATTTGGCTCGACGAAGTAAGCTCCGAATCCTCGCCCGGTTCATCGAATACACATTTCAACTGCATACGTTTCTTTTTCACCCATCGTGACATGTAAATAACCTATTGTTGATGCTGCCCTGGTCCTCGCCTGTCTCTGGTCAAACGAAACGAACAGCTTCAGGATCGGGAAGGTAGAGTGCGTCACTTTGTGTGACTTAATATTGGGATGTCTACTTCTTTGCGTGTTCTACCTCTTCATTTGCCTACATCTGCTCTACTTTAGGGTCGTCTGTTCTCATGCGTAGCATTAGTGCTTGGGTCTGTTCTGCATGTGGACCAAACAGTATTGCAATTTCTTACTTTCTTACGATATCTACGCTCATCTACATCTATGCGCCCTAAGAACGTCTCCGACGTGCAGAGTCCCTAAGTGAACTGAATTACTTCGCAATCTCAAATCGCTTTAAGGTGAAGTGAAACCCCCTTCAAATCAGTCGATTCGAATACAACACTTTTTTTTAAGGGTATTAGACCAAACTGCCCGAAACTTTGACACATGACTCGTGATCATCTAAGAATTGTCCTGGCACATTCAAAATTTGGATTTAAAAAAAAATGTTTAACTCAGCCCAAACCAGAAACAAAATGGCGTCGAGCTCTCATATTTAGATCGATATACAATTATCGAAGGCTCTGATATGAGAAACGAAAGGGTCAGGACAACTTTTACGACAATTTAGAACACTCTGATAATCGATAAACTCGCATTTGAACTGAATAAAGGCAAAAGAAAGAGTTTTATGAGCTTCTATGCTAAAACGATAACGTGAAGTGAAACCCCTTTCATATCAGTCGATTCGAATACAACACTTTTTTTTAAGGGTATTAGACCAAACTGCCCGAAACTTTGACACATGACGCGTGATCATCTAAGAATTGTCCTGGCACATTCAAAATTTGGATTTTTAGAGAAAAATTTTGTAACTCAGCCTAGACCAAAACCAAAATGGCGTCGAGCTCTCATATTTCGATCGATGTACAATTATCGAAGGCTCTGATATGAGAAACGAAAGGGTCAGGACAGTTTTTTCGACAATTTAGAACACTCTGGTAATCGATAAACTCGCATTTGAACGGAGTAAAGGCAAAAGAAAGGGTTTTATGAGCTTCTATGCTAAAACGATGGGAATACGAGGTCTCGGAGTGAAAATTCAATTAACTTGGAAATCACACATGGCGCAGGGGGTCCCTCTGCAGTCAATTAGAGCCCCAGAAAGCACGAATCCAGAAGATTTCTGGAGTTTTACTTCGATTTCCTTATAATTATCGTACGAAAACGACAGGTGGGGGTATGCCATTTAGTACAATACCCAATATAAGTCGACCCAGCTGTCAATATAATAACGAACATCGGCAACGTAGGTATTTAGAAAAATCTTCTTTATCGACGTCGATCAAGTTCCTCGACGTGTTTCACTTCACCTTAACTTTTCATGTAATCAAGGACGAACGGCAACTTCTCTCCGCCCTGGAACGTCCAATCCTATTCACAATTTCTGCATGTCGTGTGAGGTTACTTTTTACCGGCTAGATTTGAAGCTTGGAGCCATTCTTTAAAATTTCTTTCGAGGACACCAAACGCTCTGGGTATTAAATTTACTCTCGAAATCCGTGATCATTTAAACGACTTAATATTCGCGACGAGTATCTCCCTGGCATGAATTTCGAGAACACCTGTATATACCACGTGATAGCGTTTCAAGAGGTCAATGAATTAGCGCTTCGCCATATCCTCTTTCTGAGATCATAACCAATTTACGACCGATAACGTTTCACGCTGCGATGGGTAGCCGTGTGGGGTGAGTGTTTACTCTGTATCTTTAGAACTCGCATTAAGTCGTCTGGCATCTTTAGGTCTGATCTTTTAAGGCGGTACCCACTTGAAGCGTCGTAACATTTCCATAACACTTTCCTACGCTTAGGAAGAAACGCGGAGCAATAAGACGGTAGCCTTGCTCGAGACGGGGCACTAAACCATTAAGGTGATGTGAAAATGGCGTCAAAGTGTTCTCGTTGAAGCTTTTCTCCAAACTGGACGTACCGAGTCGATTCAAACTTTACAATATAAATATGGAGGGTGTAAGGAAAGTCTCGAAACTCATGAAGTTTCAATTTTTTACAAAATTTCTTCATAGATGTGTTCTAAAATTTGTTATAAAAAATGATATTTCACGCGGGTCAGGGCCGTATAGTCAACACATTTACGTTATAGAGTTTGAAACGATTCAACGCATCCAGTTTGGAGAAAAGTTTCATGAACGATTGTCTCTTCGGGTGCCATCATCTTTCACATCCCCTTAAGGCGATGTGAAAATGTGTCAAAGAGTTGGGAGAAATGTTTATAAAACATTTCTCCCAACTCGGTTTACCGAGTAGTTTGAAACTTTACAACGTGAACAGGGAGCCTATAAGGAAGGTCCTGAAACTAATGAAATGTCAATTCTTTTCAAATTTGTTTATAGGTATTTTCAAAAGAGCGTACAAAAAATGAAATTTCGCGAATTTCAGGACCTACCTTAGAGTCTCCGTATTTACGTTTGAAAGTATGAAACGATTTGAGACACCCAGTTCGTAGAAAAGTTTTATGAACGATTGAGTTTTCGGATGCCACTTTCGCATCCCCTTAAGGGGACATGCAAGTTAAATCCGAGGGGTCAATAGTTCATCAAACTTTTCTCCGAACCGGGTGCACCGAATCGTTTCAAACGTTACAACGAGATTACGAAGGCTACAAGGAAGCTTCCGACCCTCATGAAATTTCATTTTTCGAAAGAAAATTGTAAAAACTCCATGAACAAATTACGAGAAAAGAAAAACATTGAATCTTCATATGCATCAGGACTTTCCCTTCAGCTTCCACATTCACGTTGCAAATTGTGAAACGATTCGGTACACCCAGTTCTAAGGAGTTTCCTAAACGAGACCTCTTTGACGCCATTTCTATATCACCTTAACCCTTCGTTCATAGGAATCATATATTATCGATGGATGTGAGATGTTACGGGTTTGACATTTCCAGTTGGAGTGACTCGTGGAGCCGACAACGTCCCCCCTCGCTCGTGGAGTTCGACTCTGGCAAGGGTCATTGTAAGCCGCCGTCCCCACCCGCGCCGAGGCCTCGCCAGGACGAGACGACGTCGCCGAGCAAACGGCAGAACGGATTCTCGGAGAGGACTCCCCCGGAGAGGCCATCGGCAGCGAAGGGGTCGCCGAAGTCGAGGGACCCGACGACGACGGCTTGCAAGCCCGCGACCCCGGGCGAGGTCCCGAAGGAATACTCCATCAAGGTGGAGGTCGCGTCGAAGTCATGCATTCCGACCCCACGAAAGCTCACCACCCCGACGCTCATCCCACGAGCAGCGAGGGCCGTTTCCGCCACAGGCCGATCGCACAACCCGTAGCCTCCCTAGAGTCGTTTCGTTTCGCTTTACCTGATGTATTAGACGTTCATTGCGGTGCAGGTTGATCCAAGGATCGAGTACTCGCGTCCTAAGGAGACCGTCCTACGTTCCTTCGGAGGATAGAAGGGATTTCGTTTGGATAGAAGGGATAGACAGAGACGAACGAGCGGTCCTCTTTATAGGCTATTCGTTTCCACCCTGTATACCCGAATGCGCGCTTCGATCGGTTAGCAGATTGTTTTGTATATATTATTTGTATTCAACTGGTCGAGATATCCGTGGACGATTTTTCGATTAATTGAGCGCTGCATTTTTTTCACCCCCTCTTTTACTTACAACGAGCGACGCGAATCGACGCGCTGGATCAACCTGTACGCGGAGATTCCGCGTGGGATTTCTCGATTAGCGACGCGAATCGATTGACCGATCGTTTGTACATATACTTGGTTGTAGCTCCGGGATTAACTTTGCGCCTCATTTTTGGACTTTCATTTAACGAGCTAGTATCAACGGCACCTTCCGGGGTGGGCGTTTTGCGCCGATTTACCTGATTTATTGAAAGAAACGGCATTTCCGCTCTGGGCGATGGAACGATCGATGGGTCGGTTATAACTTAAGGAAACGGCCACGTTTTTATTAGCATCTTCTCATGTGCCGGGTCGATCCGATTGCGGACATTCCGCGCGAGATTGCCCGAGTGACGACTCGATCGGTTCACAGATTATTTGTACTTATTTTATCGGAATAGATCCAGTTGTTCTCTTTTTTATCACTATTTATTAAGCGAATCACTAACGGACTTAAGTTCTCTTACTCGCCGTATGATACACTCCATTCTCCTTTGTACCGATTTATAAATTGACACAACATTCGGAAACCTGTACAGGATCATTTGAATTGATTTTTCAAGAGATTTTACGAAACTGTTCGCGCATTGTCATCCGTTGGAACTCTTTTTACGGGCCGCCGGATTTATCGGATTAACGAATAATCTGTACATAATTAACTGGTAGACGTCCGTGATTAAGTATGCCTTTCTATTGAACTTTTATTCAATCGAGAGGATTTTGGCCGATCCCGAACATTTTCACCCTGATCGTATTTCGTCGAACGTTTCGTTTCGCGTCATCGTTGTGATCTCAAATTGTGCATAGAATACTTTGAAAGGAGGTTTATATCGAACGAGTCGAATGACTGCGTCTTGTTTACGGAAATTTCTAAGGTTTTATACTATCTGGTATGAAGCCTTCCATTCATTGATTTGTATAATAGAGAAGTCCTAATTTATGGCACCTCGCGAGGATTGTATAGTAAAGTACACTGGGAGATATCAATGCCCTTCCATCCTGCATAGGCGATGCCGTATCTGAAGGGGAGGCATTCATGTCCATCATTGTACAGTTGGCATATCTAGATGCGAATACGTGCTTCTTGGAAGTGTCAAAACGCTCTTTGACAATTGCATTTACGTCTTTTGGTGCAACTTTACATAAATCGAGCGCACAGAATTCGTTGTACTTTGACTCTCAACGATATTCTCATGAATTTGCGTTGCCGCAGGCTGTACATTTTTTAATTCAGGGTACTAATCACTGGCACGCGTTTCTCTTAATTCTGTAATTTATTCCGCTACGTTAAGATCGCATTGCTCTCGGTGCTAGTTGCGTTTCTCGTGGTCGAAAGTTACGTGGATCCTCCGGAAAGGTGGATAAAAAACAAAAGTATGTTTAACGATAAATCACAGCGCTTCTCGACAAATCGGTGGAATCTTCGGCAGTTAATGAACAAGGGAGGAGTTTTGTACGAAGATGAAGAATATGGAGTGGGCGATCGAACACGCTGATAGTAATTCCTAGGTCGTTCATTATGAAGTACAATTTTTTTCACGTCATTTCACGCGACCATCCGGACGAAACGCGCTGCCGTCGCGGTAGGGCCATTTTCATAATTACCGAAGATCTTGAGAAATATATTTAAAGAACCGTAAGCACTAACTCGCGTAATAGATGCATTACAGCACCTTAAAAAGATTTATTCCTACATTTATCGTTGCTCTACCACTCTTCCTTCGGTAAAGTTAAATGTCTTATTGTTCATACGCAGCGAGTGAATTCCATGCAGATCAAAACCTTTGTCGGGTGAAAGTTTTTATAACGATAGAGGATTCTTTTTTTTGGGAATACTTAATGCCGCACGGTAGTATCGTAATAATACCTGCCTACTATTTGCATTGTCGTTTTGTATACGCGAACAGGTGTATTAAACAGTCGACGAGAATTGTCCGTTTTAGAATTTTAATTCGAAAAATAACGAAGAGACTTTTGTTTGTTCATCGTTTGTTATATCGCTCTTTACATACAATCCGTTCCCAGCTCCTGATAACTTTTGAACTTAAATTGATAAAAGAAATTTAATTCGTCGAAGCTTTTGTCGACGTCTCCGTTGCTAGTTTTTCACTCGCGGGGAACATACTTTGAGTATCGCGACGGCATGGCATTTTATTATTAGCGAGAAACTGACTTTCTCCTACGTAATGGTGTCCGATATTATTATTGAAATACAAACAAACTGTCCTATTTAATCCCATCACAAATGTAATGCTAATAGAAATGCTGTTCGGCGTTTAGAGACGAAACTGGAGCAAAACGTTGAATAAAGTAATTCTACTGTAACCGAAAAGTACGAGTACATGTATCGCCACTGCAGGTCATTTTACTTTGATTTGTATATTTTGTACATAAATTCATTATCTCCACAGATCATGGAAAGACGTCCTCAATAAAATCAATTTTGTTTGATTAAACATTCATCAAATTCCTGAAAGTCCTTTCCCTGACGGCTGTCTTGTAATTAATTCTTCGACATATTTCTTTTTCACGTTACATGAAATTATTTCTGCAGATTCCTCTATATATACAATATTGTGGAAACCAAGAGTCCTTCTGCCACCAGCAACGTTCTTTATAAATAAATTTGTGAAAAAGTAAAGATTTTGGAAAAGAATTAACGTAACGGAAGAGAAATTAATAAAAGTGAGGGACTTTTAAAATCGTACACATGCGTGAGGTAAGATACGTAAACAAGGTTTCACAATAACGAAAGTGAAGCGGAAGTATTAGATAATTATACCTAAGGAATAACGAACTCTTGTACGCAGTTGCATTATATCAGTTTAATTGAATTGACTTTAACTAATAACAGGTTCTTATAATTGACGTCTTGAGAACTCATGGAAAATTCATTGTACACATCGGTTTAAATCTTTAACCCTATAGAGATTCGGTAACTCTTCCCGCAATGTAAAGTAATATTCAAACTGCGCCGGAGTAACAACTTTACACTATATGTGCACCGGGATGATTTTAACTGAGCTTGGTATTAAATATGTATATATATATAATTAACATATGTTACACGTGTCGCATCTGCTTAAGCTTTTAGAAAACATCTATTAGAAAATTTTATTAAGATTTTTTTTTGTTTACTTTTACGAGATGATTCAGTGTTGGTACATGTACAATCACCGAACTTAGAAATAAAAATTGGACATGAGTACATACACTTATACCGAACAACGCAATGTTATTTTAACAGCAGAGTGTCATTAAAGGGGTCACTAGTAAACGATACATTTTTTTTTCCAACTTTCTTCCTGTATATTGAAATTCATTTACGAGAATCGATTCTCACTATTTTCTTCACATTTCTTCACTAAAAGCAAACAAAATATTTCCACCGAAATCACGCCCATGTCAATGGAGTTCTATTCCGCGTTTATTTTCGTGCTTTAGTTTTTATGTACGAAAATGTACGTATTTTTAAGTATCAACAGAATGAAAAAAAAAAAAAAGAAATCAAGTAGAGTACCAATCAGTTGTCAATATTGAATCATAGTGCGAATATTTATTGCAGTGGTAATTTAGACGTTCGGTGCACGCATTACGTCGAAAAATTACATGTATTTCAATAACTCAATATACGACTCATCCAGAGTGTATACAAGGAAGGCCGCTAAATTGACAATTTTCAAATGGCTAGAAAGTTTATATTAAATGGATTGATACCGACCAGCTAAGCTACGATTCACTCAAGCTGAGTTTTTAAGAATCTGTTCAAAAACTTCCCTTTTATATACACAAATCCAAGATAAAAATTCGAGACGGAGAATAATATTGCAATTGAGTACTTTCCTATTACCCGACACATCAACAACGAACGCGTTACTTTCGGCGGCACTTACGTATGGCGGCAATGTACTTATGCACGCTCAATATTCTATCAAAGAAACCGAATGGAAACATTGCAAAAAAAAAAAAAAAGAAGAAGACTAACATTAAACACACGGAGTTATCTTCGACTGTTGAACCAATTCTCGTCCCTCCACTTTGATAGTCACTACTGTCGTTAAGCACACACATTATTGGCTATGGAGCAATTAGAATGTTACGACAGTACCTTTTTTCTCGGCGGAACATAAATAATAAATACAACCTATGTGGGCTATTTATTTTTTTCTTTATCGACCTCAACGGGCTCCTTCTTAACAAGGACCTTATTTTCACACTTCTTCTCTTTCTCGGCCTCGGCAAGCTCTTTCTTTATCGTAGCCTTATTGTCGCTCCATCTCGTGTCAGTTTTCGATTTGCATTCCGCCTGCGAGCCATTCATTTCGGCTGCTCCGCTTTTTTCATCGGTAATTTCTACTATTTCCACCTTCTTCGAGTCGCCTTGTACGACTTTGGCCGCCGTGTGGTAAATGCTCTTCAGGGTGGTGAGGTACGTATGAGACTCGGTCTGCGAAAAAAAGCGAATAAGGATGCGTCGTTTGAAAATAATTAAGTGAATAAATAACTATAACATACCGTGGTCTTCTTTAGTTTCTCATCCGTATTTCTTAATTTGTCTTTGTACAATCTTAGATCGTCAGAAAGATCTTTAATAGAACTGGTCTGTTTATTCGACTTGTCATTGACTACTGTTAATTCGTGCTGTAACTCCATCATTCGATCCTCCGTGTCTAACCGGGCTTTCTCGGATCTCCTCAGTTGACTTATCAGTTTTTCTACGTCCAGTAGAGAGCCTTTGTACATAACGAATCCGTCAGTAGGAATCTCACCCTCGTTTTGATGATTCGTGCTGTCCTCGCGTCGTGCCCTTTTCGACGGCGGGCCACTATCCACGAACACAGGTAACAATTTCTTGTTTCCTGGAAATTAAGAATTAGTTTATATATAATTCAGTAAACAGATACGTTAATATGAAGCCGTTAGATGGCTAACTTACCTAGAGCTAACGACCGTAAGACCTCCTCATCCCCTTCGGTTTTACCTCCACATTCGATACCCTCATCCCTCTTGTCTTCTTTGGGGTCGTCTTCTTTAGATTTATCCGTTAACTTTCGGTAATGTAACGAATCTCTGGTGACCACTTTCTGTACCAATTTGCGTGCTTGAGCTCTCGATAAATTCAAGCCTAGCGTGTAGATTAATTCTTCGATGTCCTTATCAAAGATGTATCCACAGTGAGTCTGATCGAAGTATACAAAAGACAGGAGAAGGTAAGGATCGTGAGTATAAAGCTTCGCTTTTCTTCTTTTTCCATCCTTATCGCGATCTTTCTTGCCATCTTTCAAAGAGTCGTCGTCCTGCGAAACGTATCAAATATAGAACTTATGCAATTATAGAGAAATTTATTTTAAATAATGTAACATACCTCGGATTCTTCTTCGTCGTCTTCGTCTTCATCCTCATTCTTCTCCTTTTCTTTATCCTTGTCATCCAGTTTAGTTTTGGCGTCGTCTTTCTTGTCCTTACTGCCTTCTCTCTTTTTCTCCTCACGTTTGTCATCCTTCTTATTACTTTTCTTCTCGTCATCCTTTTTCTTCTCGTCCTTCTTTTCTTCCCTCTTGTCGTCCTTCTTGTTCTTGTTCTTATCTTCGTCCTTTTCCTTCGGCTTTTCCGGAAGGCTGCATAGCGAGCGATATATGCGGAAGCCAAAATCCCGCATAAGCATTTCGTTGAACAGCTCGGCAAAGAGAGACACTTCGAAGGAGTGTTCCTACAAGTTATACGTTTAAAATTTCACCACCAAGTTCTGCGTTATTAAATCTGAATTACATTCCACATCCAAACTTACCTTCGTGTCCTCTGGTCTGTAATCCAACAAGACGCTAAGAGACATTACCGTACAGTCAAATTTTCCACTTTTGGCCGTTCTCGAAGGATGTACAATAATATGCGAAGCTTCCGGAAGGGTGTATCGTTTCTCGAGAAGAGCGCGTTCCCTCTCGTAGATTTTCTTCTTGTCTTCGTCGTGCTACGCAAGGAAATACATTATAAAATATCAAGCAAACGTCAAATACGAACCCAACGATGTAAATGTTCGGTATACTCTACCATTACCTCTTTACAATCCTTTATTTTCTTCTCATCCTTTAATTCGTCTTTTGGAGGAGAAGCTTCTACCTCGTTCTCTTCCGCTTCATCCTGTCGTCCCTCTTCTTTCGCCTGTTCCGACTTAACGGTTTTCAAAAGTCTCGCAAGTAGTTGAGACTTCAGCCCTTTGGAACTCAGGTTACGAGCAGCAAGTTCTTGACGTAACTCGTTCACCTAGGAAGATCAAATATAAACTATACAGTCAGTTCCTCAAAATGAACTAAATTTGAACCGTAATCGAAGATCTGTTAACACGTTCTAAGCATCAGACGTTACATAAAATCTCCGATGTCTTACATTCATGGATTTAGGATCCAGCTCGGAGTAATGAGTGGGGTCCTTCTTCTCAGGCAGGGATTCGTCCTGGAAAAAGAAACGAGGCATCAGCCAGTGGCAGTAAAGAGAGCAGTAGATAACTACAAAACAGAAGCAGCCCCTATAACCAAACGAAACCACTCCCTCTTAATTTTTCCACTACTATACCTCGCTCTCACGCTCTTTCTCTCCCTCTTTCGCTTCCTTTCTCCCCCTCTAATTCTCTCTCTCTCTCTCTCTCGTAACAGATGCACAACCTTACATAACACATAGTTCCTCGTTCACGATGATAAGATAAAAATTGAAACAACTGCTAGTCTCTCTTAGTGTCCTGGCTCTGGTGTCGGTGTGGTTGATTGGTTACGGACAAGCAATATCAATAATGTAGTGGTATGATTAAAAAATGTCGACCGAACGAGACTTTTGAATGACCGGGAAGGGAAATATGGCTCAGCTGCGCTCTTCTCCGAGCTAGGCTTGCTCGCATCTCGTGTTAATGCAATGAGACTGCCAGTGGCTAAGGGGGCACCTGTCGTACGTTGCCCATCGATCTTTCGCGGCTAAATCTAACGTCCTACATTAAAACGATCCACTTTAAATTAGATTCTTGTACCTTGAGGGACGTCACGTCTTACACCCTACCCCAGGGTATCCTCGCCTACGTGGCATTGATAACAACTATCAAGCCACGAAGTCCTCGGATTTCATATTTTAGTAGTAAGAAACCTACTGGAGGTATATCGAATAAATGCTTCCATTCGTACATTGTCGTACACTTCCTGTTTCCCCCTTGACATGCTGGGGCTGCCACTCCGGTCATTGAAATTGTATTAAACTTCTGTAATAAAAAATAAACGGGAAAAAAAACAGTCCTCGAAGGTGGATGATGCAACAACTCCCACTAGCCTTTAACATTGAACGTAATCCCTCGAAACCCAATAACTTCTCTAATTAAACTTTCTACACTTCAGGATTCATGTAAAAAATATATGTATACAATGGGATAGCGTTGAAGCCAAGTCCTTCGTATAAAGGAAGAAAACTCAGGTTGTTACAGAATTTTCTGCACTTCCAGATAGAGGGCAGCCCAGCGTCCGACCACCTCAAGGTACAAGCGAACGCGAGCCGAAGGTGCGAAGACGGCTGATCGACGGACAGGTACTGCCTACTGAAAAACCAGTTTAGTAACGGGAATACAGCTGCCGGATTAAACGTATAGAATATATATATGTAATATATATATGTATAATAAAAAAGATAAAAGTAATATATGGGATGATGTGGGCAGTGCCTTTTGATCAGCGACGGCAGCCTCATCAGTGTCATTGGCAGCGTCCGAATCGTCGGGGTTAGAGGTGGCGCGCATCAACTTTCGCTCCAGCTGCTTCTTATAGTTGACGTGCAGCCCGTCCCATTCCAGCCGGGTCGGCACACAGCTCCAAACATCTGGGAGAAATAGTATGACGGTTTCAACGCGAGAGGGTACCACCCGGCCCGACTTGTGGGTAGTTTCAGCTCGTCTGTAGTAGAGTTCCAGGAAGCGGTACCTGTGCCGCAAGGAAAAACAATATCCAAACGTCAACGTCGGGTTAATGCCGGCAAGCCTTGCCTTACGTGCTAATACGGGTGTCCATAGTTTGCGCACAATCTCTCCCTCTCTCTTTTTTCCTCTCCCTTCCACTCTCTCGTTCGCCCGTTCGCTCCCGCTCTTTCGCTCGTGTTATCCTACGCCCTGCATACTAAGCAACCACACAGGCCGCGACCGGGAGCGCTCGATAAGCAGAGGGCCGGGTCAATAGCAATGGCAACGTAACGACAATGGGAGGCCGCTCCTTCTCCGAGTCCACCCGATATATGTTCGATATACCCAGCTGGTCGTGGTACCTGGGTACCCGGGTACTCCCGGCAGCTGTCCTCGGCTACCCTGCCGGACTGGCGCGGGCCGAATACGTACCTTCTCCGGGAATCGACCGCTTCTGGAAACTAAGCTTATCCTGAACAAATTCACGTTAACGCCGCCCGGCGTGTCTCCTCGGTGTCTGTACAGAACGCGATTTAATCGCACCCGAATGTAACCGAATGTTTTCGTTTATGCTCGTTGAGTTTCCTATGACTTCGACGTGTTATCAACGCGATACGTTGTTTTAATTGAAACCGAATTTACGACGCCTCTGACCGTGATTACGCGAACGCGCTTAAGCTCCGCTCCGATATCTTTTGTAATTCTTGTATGCAAATGTTTAATGTCGCATAACAAGCGACGGTGGGTCAGTCAATTAACTTGCTTTTTCAATCGCGGTCAAACATTATATCGGGTAAAATATTGACTTTTAGCAATGGTGTTTTTACTTCACGATTTTGGTAAGATGCTTTTTGTTATCATATACGCGTTTATGTCGAGAATGATTCGAAGTCTTATGTACGGATCGAACGAATTATGTGTGTATACCGTTATCGGGCGAAGATATTGATTTAGTTACGAGGAAATCGCGATTTTATACGTGGTTACGAATGCACGAAAGAAACATACCATTGGGTGCAGCTGGACAAGTCTATGCCGGTGAGAGACTTGCAGGTTCTGACCGCCGTTCTGATAAGGACGGATGGATCCTTGTCTGGATTAGGACCGTCTAGAGATGGACTCCACGGACCACCGATTGCCATAGTTTCATTTTTTCCTCGTAAACCCACCAGGAAATTTATTAGACGAGTAGGGTGGACATAATCTCGATCAGGATCGCGGTCTTCGGTAACACCACAGCATCGTTTATATATTTCTTCCATGGCAGGCATTGAAATAAGCATTACCTATTTTAGACGTGAATATTTTAGACGTAAATATATTTGTAAGAATAATATCGCATTATAGTATAAATTGAGGTAATAACATGGTAATGTACCTTTGCCGAGAATAAGTAATCCGCATCTGGTGGTTCTAGCACAGCTGTATTCTCAAAGTAAGGATCAACATCTTTATGCATGACGTGGAAGGAACACGGCTTATTGAGCGTAAATGGCATATGAGGTGGGAAGGCATCGACCCATCTGAAGTTCGTAGAAAAAAAGTCGCTAGGAATGTACATGTTTTGATAGCGTCTTCTTATTTCCAGAACATCTGCTTCAGGTCTGAAATCATTATTGCCATTGATGTCGAAGCTGCCATAATGGCAATGGAAGAAGCCGTAAAAGATGGTACTTACAAATCGAGCGCTATCTTTGGTATTTGTACCATGTATCGCGGCACTACTCTCGTTCTACGACGTGGCCTCGGCGATTTACTCCTTCTTGTTCTTGAAGGACTACGTTCCTCTTTCTTTTCTCGTTCCCGTATTCGTTCCTCCCTACGCCTCTTTCTTTCAACTTCTTCTTCCTCATTTCGGCGATCACGAGGGGACCGCTCCCTAGTTCTCCCAACCTTGGTTCTATTACTTGCAGTTGTATTGCTACTGGTAGTGCTAGTTGTAAACCTAATAATATGAAGATACATTAATAATAGCGATAATTTTAGTTTCGTGTTGACGTATAGAACCATTGTAGGAACATAAATAAATAGTTGAAACTTCGTAAAAAATAAAGAAGGGTATTTTTAATTTTCATTAATACCTATTATTGGTGTTTTCTGTAGGAGGTGGCACAGCATTGTACGTTCCAGCAGGCCGATTAGGTTGTGAACGATTGTTTTGGTTGGCTTGCTGGTTTTGCGTGTTATTAGTACTATTTCCCATAGGGAGGACTTGTATTCTAGTGGCATTCCATTTAAACGGCATAGAGGGATTATAAGATGCTTCTACAAGTACGCGATCACCTACTACTGGACTGGACCCTTTTACACAGGCGCTGTAAAATATTTATTTGTATGGTTCTTGATGTATGATATGAAAGAATAAATAATCTTAATCTGTACTATCGATACCTTGGTTGGAAGAAAACATCTTCATCTACAAAACCAAAGTTGTCATGAACTTTAGTCACCGTACCCGTAAATACTCTTTGCTTTGTAGACGATGCAGGTACATTTTGTTGCACCTGTTGAGCAACGTTTGCTACAGATTGTTGAAAGGCATTAGTATTCAGCGTTCTTGGTGTTGGATACGAAACCGTTGCGACTTGTGGATACAACTGTCCTGCTATACCCGATGGCAAATTTGAGCCTAGTGTAGCCATAGATGCCATCGTTATATTCGGCTACAAAGATAATTATTTTATTTCTTGCTCTGACAAGAAACATTTCTTTTCCTAATTTAAGGATATTGTGTCCTAATTAACTCATTCCGAGAACAATTGTAAACATGACTTACTTGTTGCAATCCTAAGCTTTGTTGATATACTTGCTGAGTTTGCTGCTGATATTGAACCATGGGTTGGCCACCTATATTTCCCATTGCTTGGCCCAACATTTGTTGCTGAATGTTTTGAATCCCTTGCCCTATGAAACGATATCTTAGCATTGACAATCTATTTCTTTCTTACAAAGCGAAAGAACCTAATCCCTGATATAAAAGAACATTCTTAAACGTAATACAGGTGGACAAAGGTCATTGTTGGCCTTGTCGCAGCTACGAAGCGAAGCAAGTAACAAAGGCGATTATTCATTAGTCAAGCAAAAATGACATTGTTTATGTAATTCATCTTAGACAATGCCCAAGGGATAATTGAATATCAGTGCCATTATCATGTCTCCGGGCTATAATAAATTTAATTTAATGTACGAAGGAACGGGCTAGTTCACTTATATTATTCCAATGAATGTTAGTATTAATTCATATAGGACTTATTACCAAAGCACTCGAGAGGGACATACGCCATTGCTGGTAATGTTCATTGACGCAGGTTAAGCATGTTTCAACATAACTTTGGTAACATCATTGACCTACACACGGAACCACGAATAGCTGATGCCTATAGAAAACTTTTTCATTACCTGCATTGCGAACCCAGGGCGGGTTCTTTCCACCGCCGAAGGGCGAGAGGTTACTCATTTTATCTCCGTCGACGTGCTTCGTTTTAGTAAATTACAAAACTTCTATCGAATCTCAGAGATTTAGTGACACGGCGTCCTTCACTCGGGCGCCATATTTTTGGACACTACTGCTCGAGTCAAGTTTCCACGCTCGACAACATTTTCCACCCCTGATTACCACGAGGTCTTCTTTTCGATTTCACCACTTATTAACAGACTGTTTTATGACTCACTGCGTCATTGATTTTGTTTTTTTCCACCTTCATTACGTTTGCTTGCATACTTGATAGTTGAACCTTAAATATTCATGCTTTTATCGATAATATACATTTCATTGTACAATTATACCACGAGGTGATGCGCGAAATCACGGTATTGCAAAAATAGATAATTTAAAAAGGCTTCTTGCCATCGATAACTCATGAATATTCTAATCCACATTATCTACAGTAAAGTTATTTAAATGCAGCGGTTGTTCTGACTTTGACTTCCGAGTCACTATCTTGAGCTCGTAGGTACTGACGATTCAACGTTTCCGTTGGAGCAAACTGCACTGCCACTGAGATTTGCGGTTTAACGGAATGGACAAGTCGTCCTCACAGGTATGGATTTACAAAATGGCGGCGCAGGAAGGATTACTCCAGAGATGAGTTGGGAGATTGCTCACGGGCAGGGTCGCGCGAT